GAAAACCAATTGACATTCTAACGTTATCAACTAACGGGTCAAAAAAGTAGTATGAGTTGGTAAACACAAAGGTCTAGGATGGCGAAAATCTAAAATATGTTTCGCATGTAGCTTAACAAGTGCATGTGTGGGGGTGTTATTCAGTACCTGTGTCTAGAAAGCATCTCTTCAAGAGTTTCTCCCTTCTGCTGAGGTGCATTTTCCGAGATCACCTCAGACGACCCACCATCTACTTGAGGATTATCTGCCATTTGACTATCACTATCCTGAAATAAGATTGATTAGTATGCGTGAATTCAAATAGAACGAAATTCCAGTTTTTGGTAAGAAATGGTAACGAGCAAAAATAAGGTATTGAAGTACAGGTGATCATACTTATTCAAATAAGTCAACCTTGGTTGCTCAAAAATCATATGTGATTAGATCCATGATGAATCTTGACCTCTTAAAAGTCACCAAGATAATTTATTTCAATCGTATCAACTAATAACATCTCCAATGATATCATATAGCAATTAGCATACAATCAATTGGCAAAAACATAATCACATTAGATTATCTATGCCTTTTGAAAATATTCTTGATCTTCCATGTTACGGGAGCAGTATCTAGAGTATTTATTGTCATTTATTGGTTAGTGTTGGTGGCTTGACAGACTTGTACCTCTTAGCCAGCAATGCCACATTAACCAATAGAACAATTATATAAAGATACAACTATGCAATGAGTAATTCAACCAGAAACACCATTCCATCAATTGATACATTAGGCAAAGTTGGAAACAAAGCTTCTGTCATGGTTCACAATTTGGTACTCTTAACCTCTAGATTATGTTCATCGATCTATTTTAGTTATCTAGCTTCATACATGAAAATCATGAATTGGAGAAAACAATTTCATCGAAATTAAATACAGGTTACAGCATACACACGATTTATATTACAAATACATTATTCTGGATAAATGTGTACAACAAATGTCTACTCACTAAAAGTCACAGTAATGTTAAAATCCATCCCTATTTTATTCAATTATCCAGGTATTTACCATTTTACAATCATTAGTTCAATTTAACAATACTCAAATTATATAGGCCGTACAGCAAATTAAGATAGTTTAAACCACATTATCTTTAGTGATAGGCCGCATGCTACATGTAATGAAAGTTATCATAAAGGAAGATAAAAGAAATTCTTTGAGGTATTGAAGATGATTTTAAAGTAATAATCAAATTAGAGCAATTTTTATTCTAAAAAACTTTGATTACTGTATCTACTCACTAAAAGTCACACTAAAAGTCACAGTAATGTTAAAATCCATCCCTATTTTATTCAATTATCCAGGTATTTACCATTTTACAATCATTAGTTCAATTTAACAATACTCAAATTATATAGGTACAGCGAATTAAGATAGTTTAAACCACATTATCTTTAGTCATAGACCATATAAATACAAGTGGCTAACTAATTACCATATCCCCTTATGTAATCTAAAAATGCCATAATCATATAATAAAAGTTTCTCATTACGTAAACATTTGCCCATATTAGCAACAATGAAATGCATGCATGGGTTTCATCAAGTTTGCTCCATGCTTCATAGTGATCCAATTGCGCTTATCATGCAACAGTTTGCTACAACTAATAAAAGATGAGAAAAGACCAAAACTATGGAAGCCAATTACCCTCGCATTTGATTGTTCAACAAAATTACAAAATTCTGAAGTCTTTTTGAATCATCGTGAACATATAAATTTATTAAAAAAAAAAAAAACAGTTCTTAACAGTTTCCTTTTCCACCCAGTAATAATTGATAAAAACAGACAAGTGCCGATATTGCTGGTATCCATAAATAAATCAGCCAGGCAATTATCAGAAGCAATCAAAAAGCTCAATGACTTAGATAGAAAAAAATAATTCATCGGCCAATGAAGTAGATTTTAGGCCTTGGATCTGATGCAAAAGAATGAAATATATCTAAATTCATAACTTTAGGGCCAAAAAATTCGATGTAAAGACTATTTAAGCAAAACCAGCAAAATAATGAAATACAGCTATGGAAGGAAAAAATCTGATAACAAAGAACTATAATGAAAGGAAATGAACAAAGAACATCATTTCCATAAAACTGAAAGTAGATGGATATAATTGGACCGATCACAGTACAAATTCAAATTCGCAAACAAAATGAATTCCATGCACGCACATAAGAAAGAACCAGCTGGTTAATCTAGGAACTCCTGTAAATAGAAAATGATGATTTTCTAAAAAAACAAATATAACTTGTATGTTTTATACAAATTTCTGAAAAACTACATTTAAATTGAAGACACTACAATTTTAGTTGCCATGATATCTGAACACACTCACAGAGAAGACACAGAAAACTGGGTTCACTGTCAAGCCATAAACATGTGAGGAAATGAAGTTTAGGGTTAGGACTAATTAGCTTGTGGAAGCAATGGTAATTAATATTTCAACTTTTCTTAAGTTTTGTCTTGTTAAATATGGAACAATGTCATTGCTATCATAATCATTACAAAAAAAATATCATTTTTTTCCAGAGAATATATCAAAGAGAATATATCAATCTGATACATTTCATACAAACCATGCATGTTAAGTATAACCGATAAGAAAAAGATAGTACAAGGATGAGCAAGTAAATCATCTCCTTTCCTCTAAATTCAAGTTACAGCAGCAGGTTCCCTAGCATATATGTATCAAAGAGTAGCCTGACGATATCACTTTAGTCGACAATTGCAAAAAATCCGTTTATAGTTTCGATGGGTCTTCGCCGTAGTAAATTGGTATGAACGCTACTTAAAATCAAATGCAGAATCTACACTTATTTAAAAGAATTTATATATAATTAAATAAAAACAAAGTGAACATAAAAATTTCTTACGAATATGTTGATTAAGAAGCGCGGCTAGGGGTGAGCATAGTGTGGTTCGGTGCAAAACCGCACCGAACCACAAAAAACCGAAAATCGAAAATGTTAAAATGTTTAAACCGAACCGCACCGAATTTGGAGAAAAAACCGAACCAAAACCGGTTTCGGTGCGGTTATAACCGCAAAATAAAATAAAACAAAAAAATCAAAAAAACAAAAAAAACATGTATATACAGTAAGCTTAAGTTCAAGCTCCGGTGTCCAATAAACATAAACAACATCCAAAAGAAACAAAAATGCAATTTTTACTTACATATCTAGAAACCAAAAACGCAATTGAAAACATATCTGATGCAATTAGATTCCACAAAAGCATTGCATCCTCACAGGCAAAGCCACAACCCAAAAACAGAATAAGAGTGCTCGCGATTAAGGACAGAGAGAGTCAAGAGAGCTAGAGGTTACATAAATTAATGACGTCAGAAGCCGATGGACAACGGGCGAGCGTCGGATGCCAGTGACTGGAAAGATAAAGAGCAGCCGGTGGGCGGGTGAGCGACGAGACGACAGTGAAAGGTGAGAGAGATGAGTGATTTTCGAAAATTAGGTTTGGAATTGGGGCATAGAATTTTTTAATTTTAATGTAAAAAAATTTGAAAATGTTACTTTAAGGCTCAAGTCTTTCGGTACGGTTCGGTTAAAACCGCACCATTTGGACATAAAACCGAACCGCACCGAAACTTTTACGGTTTTTCAGATTTTTAACCGCACCGCAAACCGATCTGTCCAGAAATCGAACCAAACCGAACCGAATACATCGGTTCGGCTCGATTTTTCGGTTTCGGCTCGGTTTTGCTCAGCCCTAAGCGCGGCGACGGCGAGAGAGAGGTGTTGGCAGCTGTGGCGGCCGCGGGAAGGTCGGCTGTCGTGGCGGCCAGTGGGGAATGCCCGGTTTGCTAACTGTAGTTTTAGGACAAAGAGGAATAATTGAGTAATGCATGTTTGCCCTTTTCTGATAGCGGGTATGGGCCAAGACCATTCAAGTTCAGGCTGTGTTGACCCGATCCTGATGACCCGGCTCCAAGTCCAACTGGCTACTAAACTAGGCCATGTTATGAAATAATAAAATAATGTATGTGAATGACTATTTTGCCCTCGATTTATTTGTATTATTACAAATTGTGCCATCAGGAGTTTCCTATAAATAGGAGCTTCAGTTATAATGAAAAACACACCTAAGAGAATACATTTTCTCTATTCTCTCTCTTTCTCTCTAGTTTTATAACACGTTATCAGCACGAGTCTCTGCCCTCTAGAGCTCGGTTTGTAAAATGACGAGAGTATGCTCTACGGTTGCATCTTAGTGATTATCCTCCGTATCAGAAATCCGAATATTAGAAATAGCCACTTTCTCCAAAACAAATTCTTGTGATTGATCATATTGAAACTCTTGAATTTTCTCATTCATTTTAAACTTATTCTTCCATACCCAATTTTGCTCCAACCTCCATATAATACACCAGCAACCAATAAAAAAAAAAAAAATGAGGAAAAACAGAAAGACGGTACAAAAGGAAACCACTTCATCTTGATCTTCCATTCACAATTTTCATTTTATAAAAATCATGGAAATTGCTTGTCATTGTTACTAGAATATTGTAACAGTCATTATTTTATGAATACTTGAGACCATTAAGCAAATGATTTACAACTCCCTGATTATTGTGCTTGATGCAAAACCGGATGAGGTGAAGAGTTTAGAAAAAAAAATATATAAAAATGAAATAAATGGCAAAAACCATTTGAGAGATTAGGAGAAGAATAAAATTGAAAGTTGTTGCATAAAGAACGCTGTAATGGAGAAATCACCATGAACAAGAATGATAAGTGCCTACCTGCAAAGCTCGTTCACTTGGAGGTATGCAATTTCTCTCACATTCATTTATGAATAACATTTTTGTTCAACCATATATTGTATGCTTACTAGATTCCAATGATGATAACATGCCATCTCTATTGTTTTGTGATAAAAAATTATATAATATGAAATTGGAGATATGGGTTCTTATTAATGAGAATACTATAGCACATATCAATTTGCATTTAATGTCTTGACATATCAAATGTGAAAGTGTGTGGACCACGTCCATGGAAGACACCACAAGGTAAGACATTTACTTAAAGGAATAAATAAATAATATAAAATGAAAATTGCCTCATATATTGGTTGAATACAATTAATGCAATATGACCCTCCTACATGCATGATGAAAAATTTTGATGACACACTATTCATTACACCAAAGAAATAAGTGTTAATTCATTGGTACATACGTGGATGTTATGTTATTGTCATCAATTCATGATTTAAGTATGGCACAAATGACAAACAAAATAGGACAAAATGTTATTAGTACTATTGTTTTCATTAAACTCGAGATTTAGTTTTATCAATAATTGAAAACGAGCATTACCAAAATTATTTTCTATTAATTTTATTATGCTTGGAATAATGAAAGCTTTATTTGAAGATCAATATGATATAGTTATATTAATATATAAAATGCTTGAAGTTTGTTATTGTGGAAATTATTTGGTGTGCGAAGATGTGAATATTTATGGATTGACCCATGTGATATGAAAATAAATATGTGTGGTTATATAGATCGGCCAGTGCGGCACTGCCGCCGGCGATGGGCAGTACAAATTAAGTGATAACCAATGAGTGAAATTAATGATACTTTGTATCTGACCATGTGAAAGTTAATTAAAGTCCTTGTCATGAACAGACATTATATGGACTAACCTGGTCCTGAAGTATCAGTTGATAAATTCTCCAAATTCATGGAGATATGAATATTGACGAGATGGTACTATAAGTTACCACATGATTAATGTGATGTCGGAAGTTATGGCATAATGATTAAATGATATCATGGTATAGTAGTACTGGATGCTACCACTTTATGATTAAACAAAGTGATGAAATGGTACTAGAAGCTACCATTGGATGATTGAACAAAATGAGAAAGTGGTATCAAAAGCTACCAGCTATGGGTGATCACACAAAAATGATTTCTCAATATATTATATAAGTCTAAGGGGCTATATCAGATGACGAGATCACATTGGGATACGAGATCATACAGATATTACAGTAAAGTGCTCCGGAAGAAGCACAAATGATAATGATTGTAGTCATGAACTACTATACACTGAGAAAAATCGAAATTGATATTATTATTACTGAGAAACAAGTACAAAATGTTCAGATGGTGGAAATATGGAAAAGAGGCAGTAAATACTCGATGAATACAAAATACGCAAAGATTACATAATAGAACCCATAAAAGAAGGGTGCGTCTCGAGAGTGTAAAACTCCGTAACTCTGCCACCCATGAATGATATCTGGGTTCATATTTGAATAATATCTGGGTTCATAATGAGAGATCTAAAGGATCAAAAGCTCTTTTTCGCTTGACCCCTTGTGTTTCCACAGAATCTTGAAATGTGATGCATTCTTGAAGCTTTTTGATAAGTTCAGCAGACGTGTCAGCAGATTTGAATACTTCTCTCATTGAAGGAGATATAAAGGTTTGATATACTCCTATGTCTAAAAATCCAAGCAAACCATGAAAGAAGTTATTAAAGTTCAATAGACCTATGGGCTTGTTATGAAGTTTCAATTCTGCCCATAAAGCAATGGTGAACATTGTCATTAGCGTTCCATACCCGCCTGGAAGAATGATAAAAGCATCGCTATTGTTCACCATATCCATCATACAATCATGAATGGAATGAGTTAACATCATGCTTGTGGAATCCTTGACGACCTTTGTTGAAGCTCTACGAAAAGGTATGATACTTTTCACTTCTATCTCAAAACATTGTCCAGCCATTAAGAGACTATCATAGAAAGTATTGCTAGTCCCTCCATACAGCAAATTGATTTTTTGATTCCCCATCTCTTTGACTAACTGACTTACAATATCAATAGTTTGAGAAAAACTTACCAGTTTAGAACCACCAAGAACACATATGGTTTTGATCGGTTGAAGAAAATTATTACCTTGCGAAGACTCTGAAACATCCATCTATTTATTGATAAACTGAATTTTTCAAAACTTTGTGAGGCATATGATTATGATGAACGACTCGCTATTTAAATAGAAAGTTTTACAAAGCAATAAATAATTTTACTGTTTTCTTCTGACAATTGCAACTGACAGATAAGGTGTTGGGTTTTAAATAAATCTTATCTGTCGGCAACTATAAGTTTTTCTAGAAAATTACAGTACAACATACTAAACTGTATTAGTATGATTTTTCGTACTAACAAGACCAGTTTTACAAACTTGATCTTTTGAAATAATATTTTCGAGACTATAACGTTCTTCTTCATTTTTGAACTGAATCCATAAAGACATAAGCTCACGATGCACGTATCCACTAGGATGTGTCTCAAGAATCTGTTGAATCGTTTGATCCAAAGACTCCTTACTCAATCCATCCTTTATAAACGTTATTTTATCTTCTCGATTTTTGGACACGTACCCCACAGATATACATCGTGTGTCACAAGTCCATCGAGCGCATTTGAAGCATCCACCTAACCTTTTTGCTCTTCGTTTCTTTGCATAAGTACTTTTACCCATACCTGGCATATATTTATATGAATTTGGAAACTCTCCAGACAATCGAACTTGTGCTTCGATCAACCATCTAACATCATTTGGAATACCATTATTCATTAGCATCCTCAATCTTTCTAATCGAGATCGATAAATCCTTTTTATGATATTTTTCGGAAGAAAAGAATAATATTTACGGATATTTGAGAGTGCTAAATCCATTTGTAAATTCGGACCTTTGTTAAAGAAAATTGAATGAATTACCTGATAATTTATAGAAAAATATGATGCGTATGAGATACGACTCTGGACTTAAACAGTGTTCAAAAGTATGTGTGTCAGACAGCATGATACGATTCTGGATTTAAACAGTGGTTAAAAGATATTATACCAGAGCCTACACTTAAAGTGCATTTATTGCCGCCGAAAGATGATGTGAAATGTTTGTGATAAACATGTCACAACGAATTATTGTGATCACTTTAAAAATGTTTACCGATATTATTGATGATGGTTTGCATGATGAACTTATTCTTTGTGATATGAGATGCTTGTTCCCGATTGGTGAAAAATATTACTAGCTAAATATTTGTGAATCGATATATGATCAATCTGAGTATGAAAGGGGTACGATATATATGGGCCCACTACCCCTCCATGTGTGCTACTAGATATTATGGATCCACTAGATAGCCACATGTGTGTGATTCGTAACCTGAAGTTACGAGATGATTTGATCAAAGAATGTGTATATGACATGTAACCTGAATTTACGAGATGGTTTGATCTAAGGATGACACAAGATGATTATGAAAGAATGAAAATAAGTGTCATATGAAAGTGATGAAGCTAGTAATATACTCACCTGATATGATGAACTCTTGAAAGAAAAATGTGCACACTACAAATGATATGAGTTCAAAGTCCTCCAAATATATGTTGAAATCAAGAACAAAATAGAGACTATATGAACTCCCCTCAAGAAATTC